AACTCGTTGAGTAGGACTCCACCGCAGAAATTTAGAGCAGTCGCCTCCCAGAGCATAACTTGCCAGGGGGCGCTGCCTATCCGAGCATCTCTCCCTCCAACGATGTACCCCCTTTGCACCGGTGTAGCTGACCAGGGCTGGGCTATTACTGGACTCCCGCAAACTGAAACAATCAACGATCAAACATGTTGGCATACAAGGGTAGGTAATTCTTGAAATATTTTCCGGTGCTACAAAGGCATTCATTTATGTAAAAAAATATGGAACTAGCACTAAACTTTGACAATCTAAAACAGTTACAGATAATTTTTATTCCACTAATATAATTACATCATTGACCATGTCTCTTCATCTGCGCCAACTGACCCTTATCGTGACCCTTATTTGCAAACACTAATTAAAGCATCCGTCAGTATTTGTGATGACGATGATAAATCATACGTGTAGAAATAATACCTACTTTCGTTGATATTTGCAAAAACTGTAAGAACGGCTTTTGCCTCCACCCTGCACTCATATCTATCTGTTGCAACACATTTGTACTCTCCGGCATCCTCGTGGGTTATCCCTCGAATCAACAGGTATCCATTCACCAGAACTTGGATTCGGCCGTCCGCTGGCAGTGATTGGTTGTTCTTGAACCACGTGACTTGTCCCGCTGGTGATGCCAGACAAGGAAATGTATGAAGATCTCCTACGGCCACTGTGACGTTCGTTGGCCCCTCAGTTATTTCTGCATCAGATTGTTAAAAATAGTTCTAAGGTAAAAAAAGGCTTACTTTCGAATTTTTTAAGTACTGATAAGTCCGCTTCTTTCACAAAAAATTCCTCCAGCGAGTATAATTTCAAAAAAGTCTGTACTTTTTAACTGCCCTTTTTGCTACTTAAAGTATATATATATATCTGCAATTATGTCGCTGGGCACAATTTTATCTGTACCTGTAAAAATACTGAAATTGCAAGAATCAAATTTTTGCAGAAATTCGTAACCCAGAGCTTGTAATTTTGTCAACTAAAATTGCTCTTAGAGACAAAAATTTATAAACACATGAATAAGAACGAAAAAGACACGATAGCTTCACATCAAATAAAACATCATTTCACAAATAAAAACGATTACCAACTCACAGACCTAGGTTACACAGTTTGATATCAGGAGACGTGATCCAGCCCGTAGATTCCAGGCGCTCCCCGTCTAACTCCGCCACACATGTGTACTCCCCTACTGTGGTCGCGTCAACGGCAGGAATAAGGAGCACCCCATGCGGTAGAAGAATGTGTTTTCTGGAAGTCTGAATGATTGGAACCTTTCCGAAGAACCTGAAATTTTAGAAAAGAGATGGTGTTTATCGCTGTTAACCTAATTTTCACATACGCTTTTCTCTTTTTCATATCGCAGTTTATTTTTTACCACGTTGATATTTAGAAATTAACGTGTACGTACCACGATATTCCCGTGGCTGGTTCAGTGTCACATTCCAACACGGCCAGTTCATTTAATGCGACGGACTTGTTCCCTGGAATGCTCTTCAAAAACCGAAACGCTGAATCCAGTGCGGTTGGAGGCGAGGTGGGCGGAATCGAGGTTGACGATGTCGTAGTGGCTGGTGAGAAAAGAAAGTAATCATAACAGATTTTAAAAAATTAAAAACAATGCTATTTCTGAATCTGAATTTGGAGGGCTGAAAATGAATTGATGCAGAGAGGGCGTGTATTTTATGCACAGTTTCTGACCATCAACTTACATATCTCTATTTTAAAATATAATCAATATCAATATTAAATCCGTATTGACGAAGCCTGTTTCCTAAGTTACATACTTGGACAAGGCGGAACATCACAAGCTCTAGCTCTGTACGACTCTCCTTCGCAGACATTTTCCGAACCCTCTGGTCCACTGTTAAGGCATACTCTTGTTTGCCTCCGCATACCACGACCCCCGCAGGACCGGGAACATTGACTCCAAGGAGTCCAACCTGACCACACAGAGGTCTCTAAAATTTGAAAAAAAAAAAAAAAAGAATGTTACAGATCAGTCAGCTTCAGCTACAAATCAGCGACGAGTTATCCTGTATTTTTTTCAGATCTCTATCCTTAATACCGTATTGTTTATATGCAAAGCAGTTTCGAGCAGTTTCATGCGGAATACTTACCCCAGGCAAGCGATTACTTACTTTCATTGCAGCATCGCCCTTTGAAACCCTGGTCGCACTCGCACCTCTTGTGCCAGTCCGACCATGAGCCTCTGTAGCAAAGCTGGCCGCATGGCTGGCTGTCGTAGGCATCTGACGCTGACTTTTTGCAGTGCTTTACTTTCTGGTGAAAATCCAACCACAACCAAGCACACAGCCCTCTGGAACGAGTTCTGGAGCCTCCTCCGCACGTGCTCAAAAAGAAAATCGACAGATACAGTGAAGCCAGCATATCCAAAACAATGTAATGTAAAACAGACGTTACATTGATTCGAATCCTTACATGTTTTTTTTAAATATTTACAGCACTCGGTAAATAACGAAGTATTTTTTTCGAATTACTAAGCAGATGTCATCCGTAGTTACTGAAAAGCTTTTTTTAAACATACTATTGAATATCTGAACATGTGCTTACATACTTCAATTGTTATGAGTATATAAATCAGTACCACATATGTGGTTAGTAGACTGTTTGATATGACAAAACCATTGCCAAACCTCTCCAAGATTTTAGCTAACATAATTCCTTTTGAAAGAGAAACTTTAAAATTAACTGTGCTCTTTTGATGATTGGCCTACATGCACTGTAGATGGTCTAAGAAAAATTTTAAGAGTAGAATAAAAAAGATTAAATAACCATAAAGCGCGAAAGAGGTTTTGTTCCCCCACTAAGAATTCACTCTCAGGGTAACCCAGAATGACCTTTATTGTTTTACTTAAAAGGCAACATGGGCAAATTTTTGGTAAAATGCGGGATTTGATCTCGTTTATGTTTTATGCCCGTCACAGATTAGTATCTTTATTGGCTTACATACATGTAATATCTGTTTAATTGGCCCAAATTACTTTTAAAGTAAGTCAAAACTTTATGAGGTCGAATGTTCCTTTCAAAGAAAATAGGAAGTATTTGATATTTGTCAAATACCACACGCTCACGGTCCAAATGCAATCTTCTCTTTGCAATTTTCGTTCTCACCAAACAGATAAAACTGATACAATGTGCATTCCAGGAAATTGCAATACCTGGTAACCAAGTTCAACGTGACCGTCAGCCCTTTCTCTATTTGTTTCTTGGGGTGTTGGAGTGGTGTGCAAAACAAGTCCACCTTCCCATGTAAACTTTTGAAACAAAACTTGTTTCTACGTGTGTCAAAAAGAAAGTTTCAATGTGCTATATTCATACCTGCTGCATTGACTCCAATTCCCCCATTCAGCCCAGCTACACAGTCTGAAACACAGATTTAATCCACTTGCAAGTCTCACCAAGCAACAAAACAATACCACCAGAGAAACAATCCTAAATTCCTTCATGTCGATTGTATAAAAATGAGTCAAACTAAAAATCCCCAAGCACGATGTTCCTGCAATTCTTTATATGTGCGTTGTGTTTGAAATGATTTCCGACCTCGGCTGCGTAGCACTTAGTATCCGTGTGTCCGTGTTTGTATGATGTATGTGTTATTACTGCGTTCCACTTGTCGATTTATATGCAGAGGTCGCCGTGTATGCACTGAAAGCAGGGTCCTGAAATGTAAGCCAGAGAAATTCAGGCACAAGGCAGTAGAGGAATTTCCACAAAAACAATAGCGACGCACAGGCTTCCGGCTCATATTTGCGGCAAACGCTTAGCTAAAGTTATTCACACGCTGACACCTCTCCGCACTGTGTCGCAGCGTAAACAAACTCATACTGAAGCCTCCGCTGCAGGTTGATGTTTGTTGATTTTTTCATTAACATCAGACTCCTTCTCTTACGTGCATTTAAAACTAATTCAGACTAGTTTCACACATAAATGGAAAAGTTATTTTTCGTCATTAATGAAGGATAGGGGTAAGCAATTCTATTGTGATTGATAGTCCTTAAGACTCCCCTGTAGAATTGCAAAATTTTGCCTCTACGCTTATAAGGACAATATTTTTCTATCAATGTTTATTTTGATTTACCACAGAAACCCCGGATGAAATTTACATTTTTGCTCCAGGCGCATGCCGTTGATTTTTTGCCCAATATCTGGGATTACATCCAATTGTAGTAAACAAAAGAGGGTAGAGCTGTAATTCAGATCAAAACACTTCCTGAATGAACTTTTTGAGAATTTCCTGTTTATAGATGCAAGCAAACTTTATTTTTGTTTCAGCGGTAGATTTTATTCTCTTATTTGAAATTTGAATTTCACTTTGTTGGTAAAACTATTAGGCCCTTCTTGCCAGAGCAGAAAATAAACCGAACATGTCAAGTTTATTTTAATCGAACAGATTTTAATTGTAATTTCTCCGCAAAAATGTTTTTGTCTAAAAATGATTCAGAAGTTTTGTTTTCTTTTTTTGTCTTCTCTTCCTGACATATTTATCTAAATGGCATACACCATGTAGGGCTTAAAGAACTAAGAGGAGACATGTGGTTTTCCATTAGACCAAGTGTCACTTTCCCAGTTAATTGACATCTGAGATCATCCTAATAGTACATTATGAAAACGTGAATGTTCCGGCCGCACGAAAAGGTCAATCAAGAAAACCAACAGAAAGCATGAAATATGCAGTGCTGTCAAGTCAAGGAAGTGGACTGCTAGCCTTGACACTAGGACCAACAAAGATCCATTTTTAACATTAAGAAATTCACTGTATATATTGGGCTGGTTTTCCTTATTAATACAGTTTAATGCCTGTAGACCGTCATCTTGGACGAGAGGAGGCTTTGCTTTACTTGCTCGATCACTTATTTCTCGGACGCAAGTGCCAGTGATGTACTCTGCCCATACTTGACGAATCGTTGCGATTGGAGTCATTGGCAGTGGCCAATGTTTATCAAAGAGTGCGTTTCAATTTAACCGAAACCCATCAGGAAACCAAAACGTGACTGACCATTATATGTTATAACATTCATTTAGATGAAAACGATTTTGTTCCTGAGAATTAAGCCATAGGTCAAGGACATGGTCATGAGTTCATTTTAAACAATTATAGGTTTTTTCCTTTTCAATTTGAATAAAGACTTCAGACCTTATACTGGTAGTTTCGAGCTCGATGTTACAAACTGCTTTCCTTCCAATTATCATTTTTCATAAGGTAAACCATCTTGTTCAGTTAGGCCTACAACTCTCATAGCTTCCACATAGCTCCACAGTCGAAACTTGAAAAAACGCAAAAATTTTAAACTTTTTTACAGAATCCAACATGACCGCCAATTTGTAAGATAAAATATAAAAGCAAATAAAGATTATTTTCATAACTATCTAAATCCATATTTCAGTGTTACCCTATCCAAGATGCACACGTGGGTGACAATATCTATATGCTTTTCCATTTTAGTGATGTTATTTTGGAAAAATGCGTTTATAAAGCGGTTCTTCCGTCCTCCGAGGCGTGTTGTGGTTTTTGCCAAAACTGTGTCTTCTCTAGCACAACCACGTGCTCGTAATCCACTCAGTATAGTGCTTGCTGTTATATTTAGTGCGTGAACAGCAGAAACACGAAACACAGTACACATAAAGCGAAGTGAAGATTATTGCATTGAATTAAAGTAATAGCTTGTTACATCTGTCTGTTTTAATTTTTCATCTTATTCAAGACGCCATAATGTGCAAAAGACGTAGACGTGTTTCCTACAAAAAAAGTTATAACAGTTCATTACACCTTTTCAATTAAACGACACCGAGTACATGTTACAGTTATGAAAATCGATATATTACTTAAATTTTTATAATAACACGAAGAGCTTTTAAGTATATACACACACCACACCACACAACAGGAATGATATCCAATGGCGAATCCAGAGAGAAAGGGGGACAAAGCGGGCACGTGCCCGTCTCTCGCCTTTGGGGGTTACCCCTTCTTTTCCTATTCCCATAACAGTATAAATAGCGAAATGAGATAAAACCCGAGCATACTAAGGTAAATAAAAAGTGTACTGTTTAATAATTTGCAGAAAAGCATTATGAAATAAAAATATATTAAACAAACTTTTGTTAAAGGTGCAATAGTGCTTTAATAAAGCTTTTAATAATAGTCTAGTGGGATTTCCACAAAAGATGAATAGTAGGGGCATTTTGGGGTAAAAGTTGGGAACCAGGCTTATTGGCATAATTTTGGGATGCTGAATCTGATTTACCCGGTTCCCAAGCGAAATTTTGCGTTTTTAACGGTCTAATTTGCAAAAAAACAAAATGGCCGCCAGATTTCCTATTTTCTGCAATATCTCTGGGACTAGACAGGTGAACATGACAAATGAAGTGTCTTTACCTATATTTTCAGGGTCGAGGAACATTATTAAGATGTTTCTGTTAGAATTAGATTTACGTAATTTTCCTAAATATGCAAATTAAGATCGCCATTACTGAAAAACTGTTTTACTTCTGTATCTCTGTAACTAGGCAAGCAAACATGACAAATGAAGTGTCTACACCTATGTTCTCAGGGTCAGGGAATGTGATAAATCCGATGTCTTGTCTTATGGGTAGCACTGACTATGTGAATCGTGTCCGAGTAGCATCTTTTATTGTTTCTTCCCTGTATCTGTCAAACACAAGTCAATCTCCTGATAGTTTGAACCTGCCTTCAGAACTGCTTTTACGTTAACTAGGCAAGTAAACATGACATATGAAGTGCCCACACCCATGTTTTCAGCGTTAGGGAAAGTGATTAAGACAGTTTCACTATAATCAAATCAGCAATGAGTGCTACACTGTCACACTGTAGCAATTATTCGAATCTGAATTTAATTTTACAGTTAAATACTGCGCTGCCATTGGGATGTAAACATATTGGATCACACAACTGCCCCTTTTACCTAGATTTAAAAAAGATTACCTTATTAATGCAATGGAGGGATTTGCTGAACCAAGTAATTCATGTGATGCAATGTACAGACTTCACATTTAAAATGAAATTTTTTCAGACATATTTTCTTTGAATTTTCCCCATATATTATTAATGGATGAAAAAACACTTGTTATCGTGTTCGATATGGCTTTAATAAATCAACCCGTGTGAATACATCATCAAAAATTTAATTTAAATAATAATTTAATATTCAAATCAGCGTTATAAACAGCGCATGGATAATTTTATAGCTGATAACGAGGTATTACATTCTTATGAACTAGATATTATCAAGAATATCAGTTGGTAAGGATTTTCTCTCACACAAAAGAATCATCAATACAAATGTGAAAAATGGAAACTGATAACAACGCGTGCAGCCTCTTCTAGCTGCAACCAGAGCCCTCATTCCATGCAGAGAGGTTTCTGAGAGTATGATCCAATATTGTGTTACACGCATTAGTCAGAGCTTGCTTAAGCTTGTGCCGATTTGTAGGGTGGACCGTGCCACCGTGGACGGGTAAGCTCTTGATTCTGCTAGCGATTTATGCCCACAGGTTTTCTATAGAATTCATGTCAGGGGAATTTCGTCGGCCAAGGCAACTAATTTACCTCTTGGTTTTGCAGAAAAGCAGTTATTGCATGGGCATGGTGTGGTCGGGCATTGTCATCTTGCAGGATGAAGTTGTCCTGGAAGTATCTTCTTGCAAATTGCAAGCAAGTATTCTCTAAAATGTCCCTGTATTTTATCTGGTTGAGGTTTCCGTCAATTGCCACCAATAGTGTTTTGGCTCCAGAGTGGAAACCGGCCAGTACACAGATACTGCCACGGCCACAAGTCACTGTAGTTTGACACAATCCTCATCTGGAAACCTACTGACTCTGATTCAGCCATCGCGGTGGTGGAACTCAAGCCCTGCCTCATCTGTAAAAATCTACATTAACCCATTGCTGTGCCTGGAACCGCAATTGGCGTCTAGCCCACCATGTTGCTCTGTTCATAGAGTTAACCAGCTAAAAGTAACCTTGCATTCACTAGAGTTCTAGAAACATGCTTTTAAATGGTAATTTGCCACTCATTTTGTACAGCAAGAGTTGTCTTTGTCCAGTTGTTGCAACATAACCGCAGAAGCAAGCGGTCTTCCCTTCTGGTGGTGACTTTAGGACATCCTGGCCGTGATCTCTGTGTTAATGCACCAGTCTGGGCGTGTATCTGTAAGACGTTAGAAACTGCTCCCTGGGACACATTCAGCTGTCTGGCAATAGCAGTTTGCTTCTGTCCATTCTGGCATAATGCAACAATAGTGTGGCAAGTTGCTGCCGTTAGTTCACATACCGTAAGGTCAGCTAAGAGTCTGCAAAATATAGAGACATATAGAAATATAGAGACTTATTCTGCAGAACTGCTGCCCTTTTATACGCATTCTGTAACCAGCCAAAGAGGACTGCTCAGAGAAACTGCCACATATTACGTAAGGCAGGCCCTGACCCCCCCCCCC